CGAAGACACTACTTGAGAAGCTTTTACAGGAACCCGTGAAAAGGTGCGGAACCTGGTGGCCCAGGCTGATCCCTCAATCCGGGATGATGAATGTGACAAGTTACAATTGAAATGGAGTTTCTTTAGTCCAACAGCGGGTTATCAGTCCAACAGTGGGTTATCATGGCATCAATTGGAATATATGGAAATATTGACATGTCTGGCGATTCAACTTGCAAACATGAGGAACTCAAACCTGCCAGTGTGTTCATCCAATTGGATATGGGTCGGACCATTGATGGTGCCTCCAGACATCCGTTGGTGGAGCTTTGTCTCCAACCAGCTGCCGGGTTTGTGACACATTTTTGGAGAAGTATATGGGTGAAAGGCTGTGGGTGAAAAGTCCCTGGGTGAAAAGAATGTGGGCGAAAAGTCTGTGCAAGAAGAGTTTCTGGGTGAAAAGTCCCTGGGTGAAAAGTATGTGGGTGAAAAGTCTGTGCAAGAAGAGTTTCTGGGTGAAGAGTCTCTGGGTGAAAAGTATATGGGTGAAAAGTCTGTGCAAGAAGAGTTTCTGGGTGAAGAGTCTCTGGGTGAAAAGTATATGGGTGAAAAGTATGTGCAAGAAGAGTTTCTGGGTGAAGAGTTTCTGGGTGAAAAGTATATGGGCGAAAAGTATGTGCAAGAAGAGTTTGTGGGTGAAGAGTCTCTGGGTGAAAAGTATATGGGTGAAAAGTATGTGTAAGAAGAGTTTCTGGGTGAAGAGTCTCTGGGTGAGAAGTATGTGCAAGAAGAGTTTCTTGGTGAAGAGTATATGGGCGAAAAGTATGCGCAAGAAGAGTTTCTGGGTGAAGAGTCTCTGGGTGAAAAGTATATGGGCGAAAAGTATGTGCAAGAAAGAGTTTCTGGGTGAAGACTCTCTGGGTGAGCAGTATATGGTTGAAAAGTATGTGCAAGAAGAGTTTCTGGGTGAAGAGTCTCTGGGTGAAAAGTATATGGGTGAAAAGTATGTGCAAGAAAGAGTTTCTGGGTGAAGAGTCTCTGGGTGAGAAGTATGTGCAAGAAGAGTTTCTTGGTGAAGAGTATATGGGTGAAAAGTATGTGCAAGAAGAGTTTCTGGGTGAAGAGTCTCTGGGTGAAAAGTGTATGGTTGAAAAGTATGTGCAAGGAAAGTTTCTGGGTGAAGAGTCTCTGGGTGAAAAGTATATGGGTGAAAAGTATGTGCAAAAAAGAGTTTCTCGGTGAAGAGTCTCTGGGTGAAAAGTATATGGGCGAAAAGTATGTGCAAGAAGAGTTTCTGGGTGAAGAGTCTCTGGGTGAAAAGTATATGGGTGAAAAGCATGTGCAAGAAGAGTTTCTGGGTGAAGAGTCTCTGGGTGAAAAGTATATGGGTGAAAAGCATGTGCAAGAAGAGTTTCTGGGTGAAGAGTCTCTGGGTGATAAGTATATGGGTGAAAAGCATGTGCAAGAAGAGTTTCTGGGTGAAGAGTCTCTGGGTGAAAAGTATATGGGTGAAAAGCATGTGCAAGAAGAGTTTCTGGGTGAAGAGTCTCTGGGTGAAAAGTATATGAGTGAAAACTTATGCTATTGCTATAGATATATTTATATATACACATATATTTAGCTATAATATATGCTATACGAGCTGGTGTTCTTCCCTGGCACGCTCCCCCTTGCTGATGGCCGGGGTCGGCGGATACACAATACATTTACACAGTGCTTTTACATGCCAGTTCTTTGACGCAGAGATTCTCTAACCCGCAAATACTTTCACACAGAGATACTTCAGCGCTACACGATTATGTTTTTCTTACACAGGCATTTTTTCACGCACACATGCACACACACACACACGCGCGCGTGCTTTAACAGGGATGTTTTTAAACACACACGCTTTTACACAGAGATAGTTGTACACAGAAATTCTTTTACACAGAGATGCTTTCACACAGAGATGGTTTCACACACAGAAACACTCTTACACAGAGATGATTTGACACTGAGCAGCTTTACACACAGATACCATGACAAACAGAGGTGCTTTTACAAACGAATGGGTTTACACGAGGAGCTTTTATACACGGATGTTTTTACACAGGCGTACTTTTGCATGATTTCCGACGGCAGATGTAAAACCACAATTTCACGTGTTGGCGATCGAGGTGGGTTTATACCGGCTTTTCCAGAACTTCAGGCCTGCAGATTTCGGATTCGACAGTCGCGGCAAAAACCGGATAGATGACATACATACATATATATATATAGACATATAATTACACACATACATATATATATATATACGTATATCTATATATGTAAATATGTATATATATACATATATATAAATATAGATAGATAGATAGATAGATAGATAGATAGACATGTATTTCTACAGGGACAAAACCCGTGTACCACTTACAACATTTTATAATCTCCAGCTCCCCCCCAAGATTCCAACAGGAGGCGAATGGATCATCGTCGAGCGTGGAGGAGGTGCCTTACCCCATCCCCCAGATCCCATGGTTTTTGTAGGGATTTGAACATATTTGGTACCATACAACGGAAGTGTTTGTAAAAAAACAGGGATGACAGCACTGGAACTGAAGTATCAATAAATACAAATATCTTCCAGATATGATGGTTGTTTGAGCCTACGGGTTGAAAACCGTCCGAGCGGTTTAGGCATTTCTATATATGTTCCTTGGGGTGGGGTGCGGTGGGGTGGGGTGGGGTGGGGCAATAACGTTCACGTACTTGCGCACTCCCATGATGTTACGCCACGGCACGTTCACTTGCACGTGCGCACATACGTCATGCTACGTTGAAGATGTGTCACGTCACGCAGGGGTGGGGTGGGGTGGGGTGGGGCAATAACGTTCACGTACTTGCGCACTCCCATGATGTTACGCCACGGCACGTTCACTTGCACGTGCGCGCATACGTCATGCTACGTTGAAGATGTGTCACGTCACGCAGGGGTGGGGTGGGGCAATAACTTTCACGTACTTGCGCGCTCCCATGATGTTACGCCACGGCACGTTCACTTGCACGTGCGCACATACGTCATGCTACGTTGAAGATATGTCACATCACGCAGGGGTGGGGTGGGGTGGGTTGGGGTGGGGCAATAACGTTCACGTACTTGCTCAGATGGCGCAAAGTGCTACCCTGGATTGACATCGGCTAACAAGCTGATACATTTTGCCTGCTCACATCGCAAAAACCAATTTGTGAAAAAGATCCGCAGACATGCTGGAAAAACCTTCTGGGTTCATACTGGCACCATCGACTCGTGCTGGCGTATGATCAAAGCCAGTGTTCCCGATCAGTTGACATCTTGCCCAGAAAACGAACAAAAATTGAATGACCTCATTTTGGACGTACGTTCGCACATGGCAGTGGCGATGGGAGGCAAATGTAGTTGGAAAAGCCCTGTTGGAGAAAACAGGTGCGTACTTAGCGAAGATGTAGAGATCACCGGAAAAAATGGCTGCCGCTGAGGTTTTGGGCACGCTGACTTCCCAAAAGGAACCTTTTTCGCACTCCGACATGTCAACTATATACAGTAAATCCCAATGAAAATTCAAAATCACAATAGAATTGACCTTCATGGACAACATAAAAACATGAAAAAACACTGCGAAACGCATGATTGACTTCTTGCCAGTCACATGAAAATGCTGTTTTTACTCGGCCCATTTCCAACCCGGCGGGTTGTTTGACAACTGTTTGATGACTGTTGGATGGTTGATGGTTGTTTGATGGGGACATTTTTGATTTATTTCCAGTCACGTGCTTAGAGCTTCATTATCCTTAGCATTCACCATCGGCAGTAGTCTTCTTGCGATGAGGCGCAAACGATTACAATGATTAAATCCTAAATTCTGGCCCAACAATGAAAGATAGCTGTGAATCAATATTGCCCTAATTTGAAAGTGAAATCTCATCAAATCCCATCCATTTCGCCACAAGAACCTGCACCTGGGTTGTTTGGACCTTTTTTCGCTCATAGGTATTTTTTGGCGAGTTTGTGTGTTTCCCTCTGAAGAGGGGGGTTTTCCTCAAACTGAGCGACTGGTCAGGATTGTGATCTTGAGGATTGCATACAAGTCCTCAATTCGTGGACGCCGGGATCTCAGAGTTGCGGCAAGGCCACTCAAATCCTGTAGGGCCTGTAGGGGACATGGATGTTTGAGATGATGATCTACACTTGACAAAAGGTTTTGAATGGGTTGAAGCCACCAATTGTTCCTATTCGATTTCACATATTTCACCAAATAATTTCATGCGGGTGTTGGACCGCTGCAACCTCTGGACGTCTACAAGGCACAAAGCCCCCGTGTCCTGCAAGATTGTAAGTGTTTTTGTGCCAGCCTGGTTCACAAAGCCCCTTACCCAGGAATACCATGATATTGAGTTCGTTGATCCTGTTGCTCATCTCTTGGTCTGACAACACGGAAATGTCAAATTCAAATCATTGCCTTTCAAGTTCAGTGTTTGCATTCTCTGAGGCACTGAAAACCATTTGCCACCTACATGTTCGAATGCAGCTGAAGCGTAAAGCTAGTGTCCGCCTGCGCCGTTTGCATAAATTCAAACAAGTGAAGCTGACTGCAACTTGTACAAATAGCAGTAGCTTCCTTGAGACTTTGGGGAACGCAGTGGGGAAATGGGCTGGGCATGGCCAGGATCAGATGGGTTTTGGTGGTTGGATCACCCATATGTTTGCTTGAAGTCCAGAGATTTTCTGCGGAAGCTACGTGCCATTTCTGCCAGGCTCAAGTGAAGGACAAGACACACTGATTTGGTACGTCCCAGCTTCATAGAGATTTGAATTCTTGTTGTTGTAAAGTCATAGGGTTTTTATGCATCGTATCTATTCTATTCATCCATCAATCCATCCATCCATCTATCTAATCTAATCTAATCTACCCTAAGTCCAATGTAATCGAAGGAGGCAAGTTCAATATATTCTGTACGTTTGGATTGCGCTTTGAAATTCGATTCGGCCTGATCCAGCGAAG